CCCGCTCGCCGCGCGGCCTGCCCTCCCCGCGACCGCAGCCTCACCTGACGTGAACAGCACGATGGCTTTGAGGCAACTGTACTCGGCTGAGTCGACGTGCAGCGCCTTGAGCTTCTCCACCTGCTCCTGGAAGATGCGGATGTGGTCCATGAAGGCCACGACGCGGTCGGCAGACATGGGCGACGCGTGCAGACCGGCGGCGGCCAGCAGCGGCGCCACGTGCAGCGGCATGGAGCACTGCGCCGCGTTGAGCACGAATAGCTCGCTCCAGGTGAGGCGCAGCAGGGACACCTGGTCGGTGATCTGCAGATCCGGGAAGAAGGGAATATTGCGGGCCCACTCGACGGCGCTGAAGAGCAGGCGCGCGGCCAGCTCGCAGATGTTCTCGATGCCCATGATGTTGTTGGGCTGCATGCACTGGCTGCCGTAGCGCGACGTGGGATAGGGCTCGGCGCGCAGCAGCAGCGAGATGTAGCCTGACAGGTAGCAGTGGCCGTTGAGGGGGTCCCCGTTGGTGAGCGCGTACTGGCCTGGGTTGGGCTGGGTTGGAGGCATTCTTCCTCGCTGAACCGCTGACAAAAAGAAAGAGAGAAAAGAGGCAATGTGCATCCAGGGGGCTTGCGAACATCGCCGCGTCGCAGCGCACCCGACACAAAGCGGAGGCTCTTCCCGCAGCCACACGCTCCCCGCGCACCTTCTCTCGCGCTCTCGCTCTCACTCACAGCCCACACCGCAAGGAGACCCGGGGGAAGGCCCTCCAACTCCGCGGCCCGATTTGCCCAGCCATCGCCTGTACCCTTGGCCACCCCAGCCCTGCAGGAACCAGGCCTGAATTCAAGGCCCTCCAGCTGGGCAGAGCCAGCCGAGCTCCTGACGCCAAGAAAGTGCCAACCCCTCCACCATGCAGGAGGCACACACAGAAAAAGGAAACCTCACTCACCCCTCCAGACCGAAACAAATCAGGGTTTAAAAAACATACATAGGCGAAACCGGAGAGAGGTGGTGGTTCTAAGCAAATGCCTAGCGGCCTCCTTATTTGCAAACAAGCCTCGTTTTGCTCATAAAATGTTTCCGTATTCTCTAAAAATGCTATAGTGTTATCCTTAAAATAGATACACGTTACATACCCTCCTAACCACTTCAAACTTTTGAGGTTATAGAGCAAGTATCCTGCACCCCTCCCCTCTTCCCTCCTCCTCGTCGCCCCACACAAAGTTCTCACTGTTAAAAGCAACAGAAAATCGAACATTTTCAAGAAAAAAAAGTTGAACTTACAGTAGCCAAACATTATTGAAAAAAGTGGGAAATATAATTAGTTTCTGTCCTGCGCCGTGCCACTGCAACCTGCAGCCAGCTTTTGCCAGTGAATGCACGAGCTCGCAACTGCAAAAACACTGGATTCATTAACCGTCTGAATGCAAAACGTAAGCATGCTTTGAGTTCTTAAAGCTGACCAAAGTTTTTTTTTTTTTTTTTTTTTTTTAATGTGTATGTTTTACTTCAACACTGCCAGCGTTTTAAATTGCCATGTAAACAAAGGCAACTTTAGGAAAAGTTACGGCTACTGAACTCTCCCCCCCAACAAATTAATATAGATATGTCCATGTACACATAGCTGTCTTAGTTCAGTTTGTGCACTATTTTCTTAAGTTTGCTTGGATTCTAATTTTAATGCAAGTCCCAGTGCAATTTAAGCTCTTGAAACATAATGGCTAGAATACTTTTTTCTAATTATAGTTTTGAACTTGGCAGTTATTTTTCAGTTAAATGAGAGCACAATTCAAAGTTTTTTTTTTTTTTTTGTTTTTTTCAGATGCTTACAAAATCTCCCTGGAGCTAGAAATGAAGTCGTCATATTTGCCTCCTCCTTGAAATCTGAAGGAATTTAATTTCTTTTCTTGTGGTATCCAAAATATAATTTTAAAGTCAATTACAAGAAAGAGTAATCTGCATTCTATAAAATTGACTGGCTCGCTAATTTGACTATAAGACATCTTTAACGATTGTTAGAACATAAACTTTAACTGTAAACAGCTAAATATATTTCTAAGAAAGTACTGCATCTCTTGCCACATGAACATGAAACATATCTAAATCCAACATCAAAAGTTGTGTTTTAAAAAAAAAACAAAACAAACAACAAACCGGTACAACACAGGGATTAAATGATGTGGAAGCGCATGCCAGCTGCAGTCTATGTTTTATAGCCAAATCAGAAGGATCGGTAAATGCGTAGTAAATTGTAATTTGTATGCAGTATTTAAGCAGAGGGTGGAGTTTGATGAAGAAATAAAAGGAGTATCATGCTTTAAAAAAAAATGACACAACTATGAAAGCACGGTTCAGTCACAAACTTTCCTTTCAAAGTACAGGGGTGAAAACAAGGCCACAGCTCCAGAGGAGGCGGCCCCAGCTCCGTGGAGAGGAGAGGGAACCAGTGAACGGGCTAGAAGCCCCCCTTCCCCCCTAATTAGACCTACAAGTGCAATAAATCTCACTCCTCTTTTTCCAAGCTAAGCTTCCAAAAGGATGATGGCAGCAATGAATCTACGATTCAGGGTTCTCCAGTCCCAGCCCTCTCCCATTTTAAATAAAGAGTACGAAGAGGTGGAGGAGAAAGTGGAATGAAAAAACACAGAAACAGAGTTTTCTGGGGAAATAAGCACCCCCTCCCCAAGTTCATGCCAGCACAGCCCCAAGCATCCTCACGCACACACAGGAAAGAGACACACACCGAGCACATCCAAGACAGAGGGAAGAAGGGGATTTTAAGCCATAGCTCACGATCCCAGGGACACAATCCCGAGCAGGCAGCGGGCGGGGTTGGGGAGCCGGGAAGAGGAGCGCAGGCCGGGAGGGGGAGGCTGCGGCAGCGAGCTGGGGAGGGGAGGGGGAGGTGGGAGACGCAGGGGGAGGAAGGTAGCGGGGACTGGGGAAGGTGGGATGGACCGGGACCGCTGAAGCCCCAGCCCCACACAGCAGCCACCCCCGCGCGAGAGACAGAGGACCGGGGAGCCGGGCGAAGCGCGGGGAGAGAAGCAGAGAAGAAATATTCACCTTCCCGCCTCATGCCCACTTTGAGGCACTTCTTGAGGCGGCAGTATTGGCACTGGTTGCGGTGGTGCTGGTCGATGGGACAGTTCCTGTTGGCACGGCATGTGTAAGTTAAGTTCCTGCGGACGCTCCTCTTGAAGAAACTTTTGCAACCCTCGCAGGTGAATTGGCCGTAGTGCTTGCCGCTCGACTTGTCCCCGCACACCACGCACTCGATGTGCTGCTGGCTCTGGCCCGAGCCGGGCGGGCCCTGGCCCTTGTCCCCCGCCGTGCCGGGGGTGGCGGGCGCTCCCGGCT